CAACCTCCTTGATAGACTGTGCGTCTCCGGGCAGGATACATAGATCCAGAAAAATTTTAATAAATTCCCGTTACTCCATCAATACCTCATCGAAAAACGGTGTGCGAATCCAGAAAGCAGACACCATTCTTGTCTCCGCTGTCTCGACAGTTTGCGTGCAGTGTATTAATAATGACCCCTGAAACTGTGACGCATAGCTTGTCAATTTTAACACCACATTTGAGGCAATTTCACACCCGAAACAACTTCAGATTCCATTTATTTCAGAGTCGCAAGACCGTCCTATCGAATCAATCTATAACATTAAAAACGGAAAGCTTTCTTTAGCGTTTTACTTTCCTTTAATTTTAGTAAGAGTTTAATTGCCCTTGCAAAACTTAAAAGTCATACAAGTACCGAAGATTAGAGGTGTACCTATAGACAAGCATACGAAGAAAAGAAAGAAGAGAGAGATATAAGGACGATTGGAACCCACAATAAAGCACCCGCACTGCTAACCATCCACTTTACGTTCTTTCCTAACTCATATTGATCTGTATAAAATGTCCTTTTGAGGGTGATTCCAGAGGGTTGGCACTTCTAAACTATTGTTTTGTTTTTGTTTTGATAAGTGTTTTACGGCGCTTGCAACTGCATAAGGCCATATGAACGCGCAGGACACATTAAACGTTTTCATTTTGGTAGGAATTAATTTTGTATTTAAAAAGTGGAGTCGGAAGCAGACGACGGCACAATGTTAGAGAGCAAGAAATGAGAAAACTATTTGAAAAGAAAATTTTCCCCTCGCTGTCAGGTTTCGCACTCGGGACCTATTGAATGAAAGGCAAACACCGTAACCTCTAGACCACAAGAGCCCCCTTGCAAACTATGACATGGAAATCAGAAGCAAACTACTGTTACGAGGACTGGAACAGATTCCATCTAGCTTTTTTTCCCCTCACGTCAAGATCAGAGACAATATTATTATATTAAGCAAAATACGACTCTCACAAGAAACTGCCACAGCGAACTGCAATGATTTATGGCGATTTCAGTGTTATTGTCCTCGGGACCGGATAAGTTTAATAAAATTTTAGAATCAAAAAGCAATCTCATGGTGGTGGTAGTGGTAGTTGTAATGGTAGTGGTAGAGGTAGTAGTTGTAGTCATATTCATCGTAGTCGTATTCGTCATAGTAGTCGTATTCGTCATAGTAATTATAGTAGTAGTAGTAGTAGTAGTAGTAGTAGTAGTAGTAGTAGTAGTAGTAGTAGTAGTAGTAGTAGTCTCATTGTGTGTGTGTGGGAGAGAGAGAGAGAGAGAGAGAGAGAGATAGAGAGAGAATTTTGTGATTTTACGTGTGTGTGTGAGTGTGTGTCTGCATGCGCACGCGCGCGCGCGCGAGCGTGTGTGTGTGTGTGTGTGTGTGTGTGTGTGTGTGTGTGTGTGTGTGTGTGTGTGTGTGTGTGAACCCGTACGCCTAAAGCGATAAATCTGTGTAAACCACTGACGTCTCTTCCTGTCTGTGTGGACTTTCACATCTCTATCTGTCCGTCTGTGTGAACTACAAATTAATGCTATTCCACAGAACTTTACAAATGGAATTTGTTCGCGTGTCAGAAATGGGTAGACAAGAGGGTTGGTGTAATAGTTTAGGAGCCTGTTTGTTTAAAAATATCTTGCTGAATATTTGAGTTTAGGGTATTTATCTTTGTCGAGATAACAATAACTGATAACAACAATAAATAACTAATGATAACAAATAACAACTGATAGCAACAAAATAACGACAAATATCAACACAAACGTCATAATTTAGTTGCTTTTACTTGGTATTTAAGGCAGTCTACAGTGATACAACTGATAACAACGAAACAGCTAACAAACAACAAAAAACTGATATCAACAAAATAACGACAAATATCAACACAAACGTGCTCACACAAGGTGATCAGTCCAATACAACTTTTTAATAATGATAGTTTCATTGTCACACAAAACTGTATGACAGGACAACAAATGGTGATGACATGATGATTACGTACAACAGGACGTAGCCTACAGTACTAAAACTGTAGGATTTGTCAGACCTAGGTTATATAATCAAACATGGAATTTATATCTTTAATCAATTAATCAATTTAATTTTAATGCTTTAAAATGTCATGCAATATATTCACACGGATAAAACGAAAGTTCTACGAATGAATGCAGCCGACGTTCCTATCACACTGCAAGGGGCACCATTGGCGGATGTTGAATCCTTCACCTACCTGGGAAGTGTCATCAACAAGGCAGGGGGAACAGACGAAGACATCAAGGTCAGAATCCAAAAGGAAAGAACAGCATTCATCACTCTCAGGAATATTTGGATGTCTAAGGAACTGGGATTAAACACCAAGCTGAGGATCTTCAAAACAAACGTGAAGACTGTTCTACTGTATGGTTCAGAGACATGGAGGCTCACAGCATCAGCAACAAGGAAACTGCAGAGCTTCGTAAATGGATGCCTACGAAGGATAGTGGGGATCAAGTGGTACGGTCGAGTCACTAATGCTCAACTGTGGTAAACAACAAGCCAAAGGCCAGTAAAGGAAGACATACAGGTGAAGAAATGGAAATGGATTGAACGCACCCTGGGGGGACCCCGACAAGCATCATCAGACAGGCTGTGGAACCAACAAGGAAAACGTAAGAAGGGAAACCCAAAGATGACATGGAGGCGAGTGGTACAAGCGAAATTGAAAAAGCGGGGACATCATGGAAACAGATATAGAAAAGAATGCTCAGGACATGCTTCGCTAGAGTAATGCTGTTGATGGCCTGTGCTCCACTGGGAGTTAAAAAGGGCAAGAGAGAGAGATGGTCAACAGTGGGAGGGGCCTACGCAACATGATCGGTTGGAGGACTATCTTACAACTACGACAGATGATTGGATTATGAAGGCTCGTCCACAACGTCAGGAGCCAATACATAATTTATAACAAAATGTCGGGGAATGAGAGAGGTGGCCATCGGAGATAGGTGTAATTGTTTGGTGTGATAGGGGTTGTGTGATAAAATGTGGTGGCCGCGGCTGCGTTGAACAGGTGCCCATTTTACACTGTGAAATTATATAGAAAAAAAAACCGCAAGGGAGGTTAAATAGAAAGTGGCCGTTTGTACAGGTGGTCGTATTATACAGATGACCGTCATGTCAGTTCGACTGTATTGTCACATGACTAAAATCCGAGATGTACCTCGTTTTGTCAGCACACTTCATATATAATGTTCTGCTACTATGTATGTCTGTCTCAGTTGATAAAATCTAACATTAAAAAGATATAATATTCTGCTACACTGTATGTCTGTTAGGTCAGTCTCAGTAGAGTAGAGAAAGTCTTACATGATATTCTGCTACACTGTATGTCGGTCTCAATAGAGTAGAGAAAGTCTTACATAGATAACATTCTGCTACCTTGTATGTAGCCTATGTCTCAGTAGAGAAAATCTTACATATTATAACATCCTGTTGCGCTGTAGGTCTCTCTCAGTAGAGTAGAGAAAGCCTTACATATTATATAATATTCTGCTACACTGCATGTCTGTCTCAGTAGAGTAAGTCTTACATTGGCTGTGAATGTATACATGTTATCATTATCTGTCTATCTGTCTGCGAATGTTCTGGTCATAATTTCCGTATTGGTTTTCAAATCTTTCTTTATTTTGCCCGGATAACAATTCTTGAAAGGACAGTCCAGACAGTTGTGATGTCAAATTCTGTCAATAGTCGAGAGCCTAGACACCCCCCCCCC